ACAACAAACAATGAACGTCACCCACAAACTGTTCCTATTTATATTATAATATAACTCAGCTCAGCACAAATCAACAACGCAATATTACAACTTTCCTGAACTGAAATGCATTACTAAACTTTCAATCAATAGCGTTCAGTAGAACTGCCACTGTATGACATTTTTTGCAGTAAGCCTAAGCTCTCAGAATCACTGAGCATTAAATAAATATGCTTGACATGCATCCAAAGTTGACAAACATATTTTTCTATCATAATAGAAATTTGAACTAATTTTGCTTCCTTATTCAGAATATCATAATAACATTCCAAATAATAAACCGATTCGTATTCAGTGCCAAATGGTGAATGTTCTTTTCAAAAAACCAATGAAATAAATCAAAATGTTCATTTCAATGAATCTCTATCGCAAGCACATTGCTCGATTATTATTCAGCTTCATTCGACCAAGTACCAAACAGAATGAGGTGCAACAAAACAATGACGATGCATTTGCTATGCAATAACGATTTGTTTCAATTCATAAAAGCTTATTGAATAACAACTGACGACTGTACAAGGTAACAAAAACGAACACACACAACAACTCTTGCATAAAATTTGACTCCAACTTCTCAAAAACTATCAAAATCAACTATAATTGGCAACAAAGAATGAAATTGATTGTTTGCATACACTAAATGTAAACAATACAATTCAACAATAAAAGAAAAACCCTTGCTAATTCGTCTAACCTCAACTCAAATCATTATCATCAGCTATTCAACTCGAGCAACTTCTCTGATCAATATTACATTACGAATGTTATGAATACGAATAGAAATAACGGTTATCTCATTAAAGAAGATGAAAAACAAATTCAGCACAAAAAATTGATGAAAGTGAGCATTAATAACAAAGTCATAATAACGAAACTGAAAATTAAAATCAGTGAAATATCTTCAAAAAACGAATACGAGTGATATGAGCGCGAACGCAACAGTGGTGATAGTTGCATTTCGCTTGAAATCAATTATTCGTTCAATATCACTGCATTTCGAGACTGATTTATTTCACTTTCAACTGCTTCATTTTGGGCTGCCTCATTTTCGAGTCTCGTTTCATCTCCAATTTCTGAAAAAAGTTCATACGATGAAATTCATCTGTTCTGATTGCACTGAAATCGCTCTCTTTTTCCTTTTCATAACGTAATGTAGATAGATCAGCAGCCACGGTCCACAATTGAACTTGGATACTGCATTCGACAACAAAACGAGAAAATCCAACAAAACTAAGTTCACTCAGATTTTGTTGGGGATACATTCCAAACGAAAAAGTGCCCCGTTATGTTGATCCATCATTGAATTTAGGCAATGCTGATACAGATGTAAAAGATTTTTTTCCGACGCAACAATAATCAATACGTTCGATAATGTTGATCAACTGGTAGCAACGTGAATATGAGCAGAAGTATCAAATGAAAACATTCAGGATCGATGAAATTAACCTCAAGTCTACGTTGTTTCTCGGGGTCCTCTTCTTCCAACAGTCGCTGTTTACGTTCTCTTGTTCTCTCCTCGCGTCGTGCCTGTGCCGCTTCTTGGCGTGCTTGATGCGTTGTTTTTAAGAATGCCTCTTGCACACTTTGTCTTTTCTTATCTGCCTGAAAATCGAATACTATGACGGAAATACTCTTCACAAAAGATACAAATTCAAATTCAGTTCATTACGTACACGAATACAACGGTAACAATACAACGATGATCGTAATGATTCACACGATTTCTAAGAAGTAACGATAAAGTAAACGACAAATGGATTCGGTTATCAAAACAAAGAGTGGATATGTGAATGAAGAATGAAACAACCTTATTTTTTCCTTCCCTCGAAAGACGATATCTTCGAATCTTTTCGAAACAATAGAAAACCGTCTTCATCAAAGCATCAGTTTCATAGGCATCATTACTCATATTGATGGCAAATATCAGAACTCGCGATGTTTCTGGCAAACGTGTGTATGTCTCGCCTCTTCAAAACAATTACCATTGNTGCATCCATTTCATTTCATTTATTGAGTGCAGTCGTCAAATTGTATATTATTTTGAAATGAAACTAAAGATGGATGGCGAGAGAAGATTTTAAACGTTAGAGCTATTTGCATATACTCAACTACGAACAGTCAGTCATAATTGATATAGCAAGCGAATAAACCGAATCAGCAAAACATACTCGGGTGGTTTTGGTCCAGAATACTGATCAGAGAAATGGAAATAATCAATTGCTGGCTCATATTTACGAATCACATTCTGCACGGTCGGATCGATGATGGCAGTGGCCGCTTCAGAGATTTCCGAAAAGACGGCCATTGAAGGCGGTAGGCCGAGGCGATCCACACCTTTTCGTTCAACGGTGAATACGTTCTTAAATTTCAATTATTCACGTCATTCACGCTCGATTATTGCTGATGGTGCTGACTGAATCTGAACACTGCAAACACGCAACAAAAAACCAACCAGATCCATCGTCTCTTTCACTGCTTTCGTAACAGATTTTCGTTGTCCAAACGCCAATACAAATGAATCCATTTCATTGTGATCAACATCGATTCGGATTATTGCCTTTATAATATTATAATATACTACTTAGGATGCTCAGCTTACTCATTTCATCTTCTAGTCATTCCTTTCAATTCATTCAAAACGAACAATTAATAAAACCCACAATTTATATATTTAACTGAACGAATAAGAACGAGAATGAGAAAACAGCATACTTTTCAATATGATAAACAAGGGTAAACACTGAATGGGAATCAAAATATCAAAATGAACCTTATCCTGCTTGGGACGAACCATACCCATGACCACGCTGATAAGATCTTGTCTCTTTTGTAATTTCAATTGTATCAACATTCCTTGACAGCCGGCACGACCAGAGCACCTTGAGAGAAAGCAATGCTCAATCAGACATCATTTGTCATGACAGCATATTCAGCATACATTAATGCAGACGGAGTAATACTACCATATAATAACCACACAGTATCCACATCTCTTCTTGCCAATGAATCGTTTTTACTGTGCGTTGCAAAGGATCGCTTACAAAAAAATGTTCAGAGCCGACAGACGAGCAAATACTTGGATTGCATTGGCATTTGAGTAAAATTCAATCCAAAAATAAAGAAGCACACAAAACACAACGTGATACAAACCAGATAGAATAATTGGAATCAGTTTCCTTCACAAGATGACCTTCGGTAGGTTCATCAGAGGTGCCATCATCACCAACCAAACTGAACTGTTGTTGTAACAATGTGGCGACATCATTGAACCAATTATACGCAATTATCTGATTTCTTGAACGACCCAATAAATAATTTATCATATACACTGATAATAGAAATAATACTATTGCTTCCACTTGATAAGATGCCCAGTTTGAACGGAAGTGCGATGGCACCTAAACATAATTCATTTCCAACTGTATCTTTCTTGAAAAAGGAAGTTTATTCATGATTCAGTTGTTTGAATTCATTCATCGCACTTACTGAATAAGTTGCAATAAACAGGATACAATATCATTCGGCGCAGTATCATCCAGCACAACAGTGTATAACGTTCTTAAAGAAACAGTATCGCCCCGTGAAAATAATTTTGGATTTCCAGTCATTGAAACCAGAAACAGGGAATACTCACTCCGATTGTTTACTGCTTTGTTGTGAAACAAGAATACTTTGAAAGCATCGGTCATGCCCGTAAGAAATCACAATGAATGAGTCTAGATATGTGAAATGCTTCGCGATGTAAGATTACTCAAATCGTGCAGTATGCGCAGATAAACAAATTCAAACAAACATCAGCAAACTTGAGCGGTTGCGGAGGTTGTGGTTCACTTTTACCATCTTCCTTATTCTTCTCGAAACTTTCAAATTCATCCTCATCGTTCAGAAATTCATCCTCGTATTCATCTTGCAACTGAAAATGAACATCATCGAATTGTGCTCTCAGCTCATCATGAAAACACACGTTCACTACAGCCAGTCTGCCCTAATCTCATCAACTGTTATTCATTTATTAGCGTCAAATTGCACTTTGTCACGGTTATGGAGCTTTGTTTCAGCACTGATAATTTTTGTAAGATCACAACAACGCAAAAACAAGATTCTACAACCATAATAACGCTACTCTCATGATGATAACACCAAATGGCACTTACTGTGACACGTTTGTCGTCATCCGACGTATCGGTATCTGTGTGTGAGGGTGGTGTTTGAGTTGTGTGCTCAAACTCATCACCTTGTTCAACAACAATATCATCGACATCTTCA